TCCCTGTTTGATATACCACCCCCTTCATGCTTCCTAGTGAATTTGGCACCTCAGAGTAACGAACGTAATCTCATCTATCCGTTAAACGGAGAGTTCGTCAAAAATTTCTTTTTATCTTTATTAATAAAAAAATAATTTTAAATCTATATTTTTTTAGATAGATGTTTGATTTTAGTTTTTACTTTATTTTAATGTATTTAAGTGAAGCTGATAACATTCGTTCACTTTAAAAAAAAATAATAATAAAATTGCCGACAAATACTCCGCTAAGCTTAACGGAGATATCTGAAAACGACCCTTGAATGTTTAAGAAAAGATCCAAACAAAAAAAGAAATTTAAAAAAACCTGCAATAATTGAAGAAGATTATCCAAAAAGTAGAGATACGATGGAAAATGTAGGTTGGACTTGACTGATTTTGGAATGTGTAACCAATCCCCCAAAAATTTACATAAAACCTACCATGCTGGAAATTTCATTAAAAAATCTTCAATGGTATTCCACCACTGAGTTTTTTTAATCTTTAAAGAGTCAAATAAAACACATAATTTTTGTTGTTGTCATTTTATATCTAAACCTTAGGTTAGTAGAAGACGGAAACAAATTCGGCAATGTCTGCACGACAGATTGGACATCTTTTATCGTTGTTAAGCGACAATATTTCTTTACACCGGTGACAAAGACTAAAATGCCTGCAAGGCAAAATAAGAACTTCTAGGCGATTTACATAACAGACTTTACATTTACTTTCATCACTTGGTTCGGTAGGATCAATATTGGAAATTGTCTGGAAAGCGTTGAGGCCAATAAGTTCCGTTTCAACAAGTTCTTGAACGTTTTCATCTAACGGCATTTTTAAGTCTGAAAAAAGATGAGCACAAGAATCTAAAAATTTGGTAGGGGTCCATTGACCTGAATTAAGACGGCATTCATAAAGATTCAGTTTTTCAGCAGTTTTTTGTATATCTTTTTTTGGTGCTGGTCTTGAGTTTTCTCCATTTTCCATTTGTCTGACTTCAACCTCAGTTGGCAAAATAATCTGGTGAACTAATTCATCAAGAAATCTCCAAAAGCCAGTATGTGAAGTCATATTTCGACTCATTTTTGAATGAAGTGACTCAGAAACATTGTTGGTACGGTGTTTCAGTCCAAAAACAGAAAAATGGTTAGGAGTTTTACAACCCATCCAAAAATGATCAAAGTATGATTCAAACCTTTTCATTTTTTCTTTAATATCTGCACGGGGAAATTGAGCGGTTATAAGTTTAAGTTTTGTTAACTCTCCTTGAACTAAGTAGCTAGGAAGCATACACAAAGCAATATATTTTTTTCCCCATTTTCTTATAACATTGTCATGAACATACTCCGTTTGTAATCCTACGGCTTTTATTTTCTTTAATATTGATTGACCAAAATGAAAACGACATCCTGTAATTCTAATGTTTGGAAAGCTAGATTTTAAAGCATTTAAAATAGCTGCTTCATAGTCCACCATAGAAACAATTGGTGAAAAATCATTTTCCAGTTCCTTTACCTTTTCCAATGCTGCTTTGTACAGCCCCAGTTTTTTCCCGGACATCAAGATGTGGACGATAGGCAAAACAATTCCTCGAACCTCAGTTAAAATATTAAAAAGTTGACCACCAGAAAAGTTTGTTGGAACGACTTTAAAGGTAGCATCTGCAAACATAATGGTAGCTTCTAGATAAAAAAAAATTAAATAAAAATTACGTAAAGTGAGAAATGAAAACATTAAAACAAAACGGTAGCAATGGACATAATACTGTAAAAAATTATTTTAATTTACACGTATCAAGGAGCGCGCAGAGGAGGGAGATATTTAGAAGTTTTCCACAGAAAACTACTCAACAAATTTCACATAAATTCTTAGTACCTTTTACTTATTTAAAAATAATATATATATATATATATATATATATATATATATATATATATATATATATATATATATATATATATATATATATATATATATTATGTTAAAGATAAAATATAAAAAAGGCTCGATGATAGGGCAAAATAATGTCGCTCCAGGCATTTAATTTGTTTATGAGTACATTGTAGATATATTAATAAACGGCAAAATTAAATTTAGCCGTTTAATAATTAACAGAAAATAAAAAAAGTTCAAATAGCTTTTTAATAGCTATTTAATTTATTATTTGAATAGTTAGATTAATATTTTTCATGAATATTTATTAAATAGTTCTTGAATTGATACTTTCCATGGGAAAAGCTCTTTTTATTTAATATTTGAAATAAATATAAATTTATTTATTTTTAAACATAGTTACCTTTTAATAGATTGAGTAAAAAAGGCGAAGCAAAAACAACGCCAATCTGATCTTCAAAAAGAATTTCCCCTCTGTAAAAATCTTGAAATGGATTTGGTTCTAATAGCATCACTATAGCTTCATTAGGAGTAAATGGATTTCGTTCAAATTGACTTTGACGAGCATTTCGTAGAGTCTAAAAAGTAGTATAAACCAACTTAACATTGTTTGTCACTGGAAAAAAATGAGACAATATTAGCGAACATGCATTTTACTTTACAACAACAACAAACATTTGTGTTGTTAAATGTTTTCATAAATATTTAGTAAAAAATTTTTTTCATTTACCTGGACAATCTTTGGATAAGTGAGGGACATTTGAACATGAAGTGGAGCATCTTCAAGAACTTCATTATAAATGGTTTTTAAAGGCTTTTGGGAACAAGCGGCTTGCTCGCGCATCTTTTGCAGACTATTTAGATAATCATAGCACATAACAGATGATCCACAAGTGTGAGAAGCGATTGGTTCCATAAGTTCATATGATGGATCAATTTTGGCTGTTCCATTGCAATCTTTATAGTGCTTACACTTGAGATAAATAACACCCGTTGAACTTGTTCTATTTTTTATGTAAGCAAATTCCCCAGATATATATAAAAACGAATTTCTACGATCGCCTTCAACTTTTTGATAATTCCATTTTTTTAGCAAACGACTTGCGAGTCAATTTATACGAGAACAAGAAAACCGCAAGCTTTTTCTTTTGTTAGTCAGCTTTGTTTGTTACGTTACTTTCTCTCGTTTATTTTTTTGTTGTTATTTTGAAATCAATTGATAGAAAACACAGGTGTTTGAATTTATTATTAACTAAATGTTTTAAATTGCAATATGGAAAGGTACTCTTTGAGTCCTTAATACAAAAGGGGGGGGGGGGACAACGTTTATTAATTTTTACTTTTTATCAACAAAAAATTTGTTATCTAAAATCTGAAAAAAAAAATATATTGAAAATGGGTATCAAATATTAAAAATAATTATTTCAGTCACCGATAAAATTAAAAACTTTCAGTGTAAACTGGCTTTAAAGATCGTCGACCTAGTAAATCTCGATATGTCAAAAATTAAATGTGAAAAAATAGTCGAAAATGAAAAATCTCGATACGTCAAAATTTTTAGTTTATTTCTCACCTAAGTATATTACAAGTAAGTAACTTACATCAGCATATTAAACCCTATTGAAATTATGATAAAACAGCTGTTAGAAAATGCGCATTTGACCCTTAGCCACGTTAGAATTAAATAGTTTACGCGTGTTTTGTAAAAAGTTTAAGTTAGGATTTAAAATTTTTTTAAAAAATACTTATTTTGTAACATGGCATTTACTCCGCCTTTTATACCCTGACCAGGCATTAAACCTTGGGCCTATCAACTATAAGCCAGCGCTCCAGTCACTGCGCTACGGCTGATTAAGTTCAGCTCTGATTTAAATCAACTAAAAAATATATAAAATACATACCGGAAAAGACGTAGTTATAAAGTCGATCAAAAAAACAGTAGGTCGAAAATACAGTAGGTTGAAAGTACAGTAGGTTGAAAATTGAGTAGGTTGAAAATTGTGTAGGTTGAAAATGCAGTAGATTGAAAAAGTAGTAGTTCATGTTTTAATTAGTTGTAAGTATGAAAAACCAAAAGTTGTAGGTTGAAAATCAAAATTGTCATATTCTATGATTTTAGATATTTTAAAATTAGGTTGAGTTATAGGCCACCTAAAAATCTTATACCGTAGCCAATATTCGGCCAATGTAGTTGCGGATTAGTATATACTTTAAAAGCATTTTTAAAAATGGTATCGTTCGACAGAATAAAAAAAGGTTTTGTTTTCATTTTTTTTTTAATTATAAAAAGAAGAAGCTATATTTATTAATCTTCTAAGAATCTTAAAAGCTTCCTTATAAGAAATAAACTTCAAGAGATTCTCGTGACTTGATGTTTTGTTTTTTTAAATAATAAAATATTTGTTAACATTTAAATAATGTGCTTAAAACATTTTTTACTACAATCTAAATTATTAATGTAATAATAAAGGCAATAATTAAATTATTTTTGTAATCCTAAATTTATTATTTTATTTTTATTACTTTATTGGCATTTCAAATGTTTGATTTATTTAATAATCTTTATTTAATAAATGAAACATTTCGAATATTTGATTTATTTAATAAAGAAGACATTTTAAATGTCTTCTTTATTAAATAAATCAAATATTTAAAATGTCATACAGTATAAGTTTTTTTTTTTTCATAATTTATTTATAATAGTTTAGATTATATAGCTATTATAAGATATATTATTAAAGGTATCAATAATATATATGTGGCATTGTCGATGCCATTGTCAATGCCAATGTCAACTTCAATGCCATTGAAGTTGTTAAAAGCTGATATTTTACATTTTAAATATGTCTCTTTTGTTTGATTTCTTTCTGCGTTTGATTATGAAACCCCATCTACTAACATATTAAAACAGTGTACAAAAAGTGATGTTACTAGAACTTATAGTCTACGTATGTAGAGCTTTCTAATATTCCATGTTTCTGAGGTTTAATTATTTTTTAATTTAACAATTTTGGCTATTTTTCATATTTAGTTTGCGTACAGCAATTAACAACTTTAAGCTTATACATTAACTTTAGTTATAACTTAATTATTAATGATTTGATTTATAGATTTTTAAAGCAATACAAGATTGAATTTAGCAGAAGGCTAAATTTCTGCTCTGGAGACAAAAAAGGAAGACAGCGAAAATGACCAGTCAAAATAAAGATAAAGAGACAAAAAACTGTGTATATTTTGGTGTAGATGATTTATCTTCATTTTGTTATAATAAAACAAAAAATGTTATTAAACTTTGGGATTTACCTGTAACTCCAAACTCTTTACAGAAGTTCAATGATTGCTCTGAGAAGTTGAATGAACAAATTTATTAAATGGTAAGTTTTTATATAAAAGTCTTTATGTCTGATGATTGAAAATCTTTATTCATAGCTTTAGCTTTTACAACTTTAAAAACTTTTTCATAAATTACGGTCAAAAAGTCATAGTGTTAATTAACGTTTTATTGTGTAATAATCAACATATCAAAGCATGGTCGGGAAGCGAGAGCAATCCCTCTCTAATACTGACCACGGAAAAACTGGCCAGGTTTTCTAGTTGATTTAAGGTAACAAAAATTTTTTGTTGGTTTTCAAAGTTGGTGTCACCAACTTTGAAATCTATTTGAATTCAACTGTTGAAAAAAACAAGAGTATTCATATCAGTTTAAAGTTTTAACAGTTGCTGGTGGTTCATTATTATTCATTATATAAACGTTTATTTAAATTTATATAATAGACGAAGGTAATACAATATTTTTATAGATGACATTGTTTTTAAAAACTGTATTATTAAAATTCAGAATTAAAATATGTAAAAAAAATTATTTACAAACATTGGACAACTTTATATTTCAAATAACCACACTTTTTATGAAAGTGAGGTTATTTGAAAAGAATATTTTTTTTTAGAAAAAGATCAAATTATAAGATAAAATAAAGATTTTTTTTGGATAAAAGAAACAATTTTTAGATAAAATAAAAATAAAGTTTTTTACAGGAGAAATGTTTTTCATTCTCTTGTAAAAATTTAATTTTGTGACTTGTCACATTTTCAAAATACAGCACTTAATTAAGCTATTATGTTTTTTTTGGTGCTACCCATTTAATTTTTCTGAAACTTATGTTTTTCTTAGTGTTCGTTCTTAGTCATCCTTAATAATAATATCCATACTAACATGTATAATAAGCTCCATACTAATATCCAACTTAACTAATAGCTAAGTTTTAAAAGTTTTGTCATTGAAAGCATGTACAATCTTAGCATTTCCATTACAGTAGATAGTAATTTTAAACATTTTGTAAAAATGTTTGTTAAAAATGGTCAGGGAAATTCATTTGATTTTTAAAAAAAGTCATTGATTTTTATATAAATTGTTGGCTACGAACCCTGTTGGAGAAACATTGTTTTAATATGAATTTTTTTGTTGTACAGTGCAATCTGTATTTTATAAGAAACACAAAACAATTCTCGTTAATGTGTAAGCTTAAACATTAACGAAAATTGTTTTGTGTCAGTGCCGGAAGTTAAATGCACACCTGCAAATTTCATAATTCATAAAAATATTATGAATCCATTAGCAAGTATATATTTTAATCATTAAAAATTTGACTTTCTTTCTTTATTTTTATCTGTTTTATTAGTGACTGTTGTATTTACTTTCATAAATTCTAAATATAATATGTAATTAGTTGTATAGTTTCTTAATAATATAATTAACTTTAATGTTCAAGATAAAGTTGTATCCTTGAAAGATATGCTGGTATTATTGGCACAATGGGCAAGCATTGAAGTGCAACTTGGTGAAATACAAAACACATCAAATTCAGTTATAAAAATTTGAGTAACAAAGGTAATATTTTTTTATGATCTGTTTAGGCATTTTGTATGATGTCTTAGTACAACTTATATACTTTAAATAAAGTAGTCTTTGAAGATTTCTTGTAAATGACATTTTATATTAATTTAAGTCTAAACAAAAGTTACTTTAATTATTGCCAGGTTGTGTATTTTTGCAGGTCAATTATTTGGCACAATTTGGAGTTAAAGACAAAGGAGATTGTATATGTTATTTACTAAGAATTGGTTTTTAAAATGGCATAGCTGTAAAATTAAACTATACAGTGAGAGGACAAAAAGTTGGAATAGGAAAAATGTTGATTGCATATGTTGCTATTGGTAAGTGGTTTAGAAAAGTTTATTTTTTCAGTCTCAATTTTGCATTACAGAAATAATTTCAATTTGTTATGTTTCTTTGGTGCATAATTAAACAAACAACTATTTTTTTTGTAGAAACTGTGAAGTCAAATAAGCATGGCTTATGCAGACATGTGATAGAGATAGAGGAAGAAAAAATAATAATAGTGGGTACCAAATATCATAAGCTAAACACGATTCAATAACAAGTAGCTCAGCCAATATCGAAACTACTCTATAAATTTTATAGTGAATTTTTTTATTTGAAACTCAATGTGTCAGTTTTTGGTTTAAGTTTAGTGTTTGCAATGTGTATATTTAACCGAGAAATTATGTTAAATAAATACATTTTTATACTTGTATCATACATTCTTTTTTTTCTCTATAAATTTTTAATGTAGCGATGCAAGTCATCTTATTTGTAACAACGATCTAATGTTGCATAAAACGTTAGGCCGATATACGATATACGATATTGGGCCAATGTTGTATACAACGTTAGGCCAATTTTGTATACAACGTTGGGCCAATGTTGTATACAACGTTGGGCCAATGTTGGGTAAACGTTGTATACGACATTGGGTCAATGTTGTACACAACATTGGGCCAATACCTAACCAATGATCAAACCTGCATTGGGCCAACATCGATTTTCAACGTTGGGCCAATGCATCATCATGGATTGGCCCAACGTTGGTCCAATGTAAGCTTGCTGTCTGGGAATATATTAATGAATATTACAATGAGACTAACTAAATAGTGTAACAAAGCCAGATAAATTTAAGCCAAATGAGTGGTTAAAAATTTGTTAAAAAAATAGTGACAAATACAATAATAGTAACAAATGCAATTGACGTAAAGACGCACCTTATGATTTTGCCAGACGACCAAACTGTTGTAGATTATGTTAATATTATTATTAAAGTTAATATAGTCCCAATCAAGTGATTGATTGTTCTCTGAAATTTGTTATTATTATTAATTTGTTCTATGAAAGAAGTTATTATTGTTAACTAGCCTTTTTTTTATTATTAAAACCTTTCCTTACTTTGAAAATTGGTTGTTAAAATTTTATCAATTAATGATAATGAATGATTTGTGATTCTAGTCGGTCGATTAATTAAAGGTACTGTTCCAGTTTCGAAACCGTTGAAAATTTTTTTCAAACTTTTATTTTTATAATAATAAAAAGAGTTTATGTTGAAATCCCCGATCAAGTAGTTTTTTTTTCTTTTCAAGATCGGTTTACTTTATTATATTTTTTAGTAAAAAATTGCCAAAGGTTTCAAAACATCCAGTTGGTGGCCAGTAGCAACAGCTTTTAAGGGGCCATCCGTAAAAGACGTCATGCTCATAGGGAGGGGGAGGGGTTCAAGATAAAAAGGACAAGAAGAGGGGGAGAGGTCATCAGAAAAGACTTCACGTTATAAAATTTTTTTATTTTAGTTTTAATAACATGGAAAGTTATGTAAACATGTATTTTTATGAAGTCAACATTTGGGAACGTAATATTTTTATTTACCGCAATTAAAAAAAAAAATTCGTGTTGATATTTGTTTTATTTTCATATATATATATATATATATATATATATATATATATATATATATATATATATATATATATATATATATATATATATATATATATATATATATATATATATATATATATATATATATATATATATATGTACATATTGAATATGTTGAATATATTACAACCAATTATATACGTGTACATGACGGAATTGGTCGCCCTAATAATGAAGTAGAATAATCTGAGCTATTGCGGGTCATCACTTAACTTGCTAAACATGGATTTGCTGCCCACAATAAGAAGCAATCTGAAGTGTATATGGAAACTTATTCACTTATAATTCTTTAATTACTTTATAAAGAGCCTCAAATCGTTGGATGAGCTTGGTGCCGAGTTCGAAAAGAGGGGCTGCTATCTTAGCAGAAGTATTTTATAAACTCGATTGATGCCAAAACGGAGCAAATTGTTTAAAGAAAAGAGACACGTTTACACGGTTTCAGTTAGGTTGATGCGAGTCCAAAATGATTATCACTCAAGTCATGTGGATGATTCATTTTGTACAGCAGCTTTAAGGAATGTGGAAGAAGTTTGCTCTTTATTTGGCCCTAAAAGTATGTGCTTTATAAGACAGGACAATAAAGCTCGGATCCCAATTGGAATCACCGCTGGAATATCGAGTTTCTCTTCTTGATCATGATTGAGTCATTGCCGCAAAGCAATGTTAGAAAGATCTGTGCTTTGACCTTCTCAGGTCTGATGATTGATCTGTTTCCAACTGTGGTTGAGTATATCAATACAGACGATAAGGCGAGGCTTGATGATTGTCATCTCTTATTGAAGGATCAGGAATGGTTTGTCTCTCATGTGCGCATTAGCCAATATATCACGCAAATTGTGAAATGTGAGAATCGCGGATGTAGCTCTTATTTCCATGTTATTACCGGTCGATTTCTACCGGTAATAACATGGTTACTACTATTAGTGGCAGCCGCTATAAATGGAAAGCCGATAACTTTCCAAAATGTCAATAGTGGCTAATTAAACGGTCCACTAAGTAAACGGTGATCAAAACCATAGTGGTCCGCTCAAAATGCCTATATAACTCCACTAAAATTCCGCTAAAGAATGTTTGCTGGGATGCGATCGTTAAATTCGGAACAAAGAATTTCGTTTTAAAACTTGTCACTAACACATTAAAATTTTTTTTTTTTGCGTAATTACATTAAGTAATAACAGTATTAATTAAAAACATCAACAAATGAGTCAAAATATTTCTCTAAATTAAAATGTCATTAAAATTGTTAGAAAAACAATAAAAAACTCTGTCCAGCTATCAAAAAAATCCTTCTGCATTGTTACTTTCAATCACTAAAGCATCTGAATCTAGCAAAACTAATATTTATATGGTCATAAAACAATACAAGAACTCTCTATCTATCGAGCAAAAAGATCCGGAAGAAAGAGTGGTTTTAAGGATAAGAAAGCTGCAATTAGTATAACGTGTAGCACGCGAGAAAATGCATTACTTCAAGCAACTTTGACCATTTTTTACCCCCATTGTAAAGCTTTTGTAACAAGCTCCATACAAGTTTTTACAAAGCCACTAACCCCTTCCCCTTAGAGTGTGATGTAATTTAAAGACTTTATGTGAATTAAGATGTTATTGATAAAATACGATTAAGTAATTTATTGAATTTTAATTAGCCTCCCCCATACCTTGATGAGTGATAAAATCCGCCCCTGGTCAGAAACACACATTTTGCTTCGAACTTTATACAAAGGGAAATATTTTTAACAAAAAAATGAAACTTCTCTTCCTTGCTTATTAGTAATTCGTTCTAAAATTATTGGATCAAAACCTGGAAGATGGAGATTTGAGTTATTTTTAAAAGTTACTTATAAACACCAGGTTTCAGTTAAAAAAATTAAATTAAAAAAACTTCCCGTTTCGCTTATAAAATTTAAAATGTTTTCAAAAATCTTTTTTAAGCTACGTATATTTATGTACATTAAGATAATCACTTTTATTATCGCTTTTAAAAATTTTTCTCACATCACTAGGATAAAAATAAGAAGTTTCAAATTCAGGAGAGTTTGAAATCTCTTATTTTTAAAGTGACGCATTTACGTTTCAGGGTATTCTCCTTACTCTTTTTGTCTTTATTAACCACGTTTTCAATAAAAATTATTAAGCGTTGTTTTTGTTTTCATTAACCACGTTTTCAATAAAAATTATTAAGCGTTCTTTTTGTCTTTATTAACCACGTTTTCAATAAAAATTATTAGGCGTTTTTGAACTTGTTCCTGTGAGGTAACAATCAAATTCTGAAATGTAGGATATTGTTCTAATTCAAAGCACGACTACGTATGACGACTACGTATGTTCTCTCGAATAAATGCTGCAGCTGTCTCAACGATCCGACGTCACTCATCATTCCTGTTGGTGCACCTTTGTAAATACCAACTATCCGTTAAAATCTCATGGCTTACATGAATGAAGCAAAAAGTATTTTTTTGCCTGGAACGGTTGTAAATAATAATTCATCTACAAAACGTGCTTCAAGTTTTATTTTCAAATTTTTTTCTGTGTTCGGGTAAGTTCCAGGTGGAAGGAAATTACGGAATATGTCATTTTATTCAAAAATTGAATGCTGACATTTGATTGAATTCTCTCATTTTCTCAAACTTCTATTTGTAATTACTAAAATTGTAATTAGTTTTTTAGATGCTTAAAAAAATTTTTAAGAATTGTAAAGGTACTCTAGTTAATTAACTTTTAGATTTTTTAGATGTTTTTTTAGTCAGTTGGTGAGAAATATTATAAGTTAAACGAAAGTGATTTTTTTAGTGTCGCAGGAAACAAGAATAAATTTCCTCACAGTTTTAATTAAAATGAGTATTTATAAATTAACATATTTTAGATTTCAGTTAAGAAAAGTAGAATTCATATGAGAACAAACTCCACTATTTAGATAATTAAGAATTGCTACAATAAATCTTCAACATTAGTTTCGATATATAGAACAAATATAACATAACAAATAGTTTCTAATTTCAAATGGATTTGAGCAGACACTTTTAGAAATTAACCATGTCAAGTTTGTAAACTTGTTATTGGTTAACTGCGATAGAAAACAAAACTATATTCTAATCTCAGTTAAACTAAGCTATGGTTTAGGGCCCTGGGCTGAGGAGTGGTCCCCGGCTGATGAAGCTCATCAAACATAAGCATAGAAAAACATAAAACTGAAACTCAATATTTTGATAAACAAACATTGGAGTAAACGTTTACACTTACAAACGTTTAAAATTTGAGTGTTTGCATAATTAAAATTTGTAAACTAATTATTCAAAGTTCATTTTTTGTTTATAAACATTCGAATAAAAGTTGACGTTTCTTGTCGTAACAAATGAAATACTTTAACAATTACAAACCAGGTTTCATAAGAATATTTTTATTAGTGTATGTATATAAACAATATGGAAAATTAAACAGATAAAGTAAAACATTGCGTAACATGTATATATCTATACATGTTACGCAACGGGGAAGGGGTTAGTGGCTTTGTAAAAACTTGTATGGAGCTTGTTACGAAAGCATTACAATGGAGGTAAAAAATGGTCAAAGTTGATTAAAGTAATGCATTTTCTCGCGTGCTACACGTTATACTAATTGCAGCTTTCTTATCCATAAAACAACTCTTTCTTCCGGATCTTTTAAAAAAGCAAAAAAGGCGTTGGCATATGAGTAGACACGAAAAACGGGCAAAGAAACAGTTAACTGCCGAAGTATTATCAAATTTTCAAAAACTAATACTTTCCTGAAAAAGGAAGAAGCCGACGATACTAATTCTGAACCATTAGACTGTAGCAATTCTGCCACCAAAGGCGATCCTCAGGAAGGTCAGTCTGAGGCTATAGACACATTTGACGTTCAACCCAGTATATCACAAACTTCCGAATCGAACGCCAGTAGTTGTGGAAAAAGATATTAACATAATTTCAAAGATTTAACGGTTGTTATGACAATTGTATAAATCTAAATCAAACAACAAATCCCACACATTAGTTTGAAGACATTTCAACTGTATTTATAAATGTAATTCTGCCGGCCATAATTCAAATAAATAACTTGATAAATCTTGTCTACATTTTACTACTTGCACAAGATTATTTAACGCAAAAATACTAAATAGTGATTAAATAAGGATTATTTAACGCAAAAATACTAAATAGTGACACATACGAACACGATTGGCTGTTGTATTCTACAAAATCAGGCTCTCTTTCTTGTTTTGTATATACACATCAAAATTTTTATCGGCAGTATAAAATTTTATACTGCCGATAAAATTTTATACTGCCGATAACAATTTTGTATAAAAAAATAATTTGTATATAAAATGTGTAGATTTTAGTAACTGAAGAAACCTACAGATTTACCTACAAGATTAAAAAAATAGTCGTGAACTCAGATCTGCTAGTTTAAATTATCTGACAAGGTACAAATATTGTGGACTAATATCAAAAGTGAAAGAGCAAACTAAACGTAAACAATAATACTGACTTCATGTTCTGGATAAAGTAGCTGCTGTTAATCATTCAGCGAAAATAAAAAAGAGTTTCGCTCCTCTTAATATAGAAATTTTTTAGGTGTCTTAAACCCAATTGCTAAAATTAACCCATTTCTTACCGAGCAATCGACAGTTTGGAAAGTAAAACAAATTAAACAACCATCCCATATTTCTGAGACAATCTTAATGAAACTCTTTATGTCTTTACTCTTTATGTCTTTAGCTCTTTATGCCTTAGACGAAAAATTCAAACAAGTTATTTTAGTCGAAGTAACGACTGACGGTTATTTTGTAATAACACTTCACATCGACCCCAGACCTCTCTCATAAGATAATTAACTTTATTATAAAATTCAAAAACTTGTTAGGAAGACTTTCACTGCAGTGGATGCCTTGTTGACTGTTGCCTGAATTAAATTATTATTTTTTCTATAGTTTAGCAATTATACACCTTCTTTTCGGGCAACAACTCATCGCTAGGTAGTATTCGAAAATACTAATAATTTAATTTCATGATAAGATAAACTGTGTTGTGATGTCTAATCAAGTGCAGCTAAGAGTTTTTCTTAAAAAATCTTAATCATGGCAGCACATTTCTAAAAAAACTTTACCCTGATAAGATAGACAACAATTTAATAAATGAGGTTTCAACTCCTTTTTAAAACACACCACAATTAGCCATAAAAGGTTGTGTTTTTTTAGTTTATCGTGCATTAAAATGATTGTAATCAGAGAAATAAAGTTTGACGACATATGTTGCGATTTTGATAGACAAAAATCAAGGAAAAAGTTCTTCTAAACTTTATGGATGAATTGAAACTTTGCAGCTACTTTTTTGATCTATATATTAAAATAAATTAATAAGTTAAAAATTTCTTTGTTTGTTAAACTTATATTTTTGTCATTTCTGTGCAATTTATTTGTCCCCGCAACAAATCTGAGACTGGCTTAGGACTCCATTATGCCTTAATCCGGACCTGCTGGTTCTGTGCAAAATGATGGACTTGTAAAAGACTTGTAAAAGATGAAATGCTCAAACGCAAGCAAGTGTAGAATTTTTTTAAAACTAATAAACATATTTTTTGTGTAATTTCTATAAAGTTTTAATTTAGTTTTTTTTTTCAAATAATATCTACATATAAGTTTGGTGATTGTATTTGCAATGGAAAAATGCGTTTATCTATAATCGAAATCATTCTTTGAATATTCTGAGTATGACAAGGTTAACCTCCTTGGCAAAGTGTCTTAGAATTTATGTATTAAAAAACAACAATATTTCATTAGAAATATGTTTGGACTAAATTTTAAAAATAACTTTAACAAGGTTTTTATTACTAGAAATTCATTAACGCACAACATTCTATGACACTTTTGGCATAATATTTGTTACTGAATATCCTAAATCTTATTTCCTACTTTCAAATATTCACTTTAAAGTGAAAATATTCTTTTATTACTTTAAATTTTTTTAAATATATTAAGAAATATTTTAGAAATAGTTAAGCATTATTCAACATTTAAAAAAAATAGTTTTAAAAAAATAACTTTTATAGGACAGTGCAGCAATATTTAAAATTTTCCCTTTATTACATGCGTTTCTTTTTATGCGAAGAAGGAAAACATTTGATGAAAGGGTAAAAGAATAAACAAGTTTAGCGGGCATAGAGAAATTTCATTATGCGCTTCTGAGGATATTTGATATCTTAACTAAAAATAAATTTTTAAATTCAGTTATATGAATAAAATAAATATTTTCCACTTTCTTTACTAAGGCCCCGAAAAAACCTCTAACTATTGGAAGTTTTAAAAAAAATCTCTAACTATTGGAGGTTTCAAAAAACCACTAGCTATTGAAGGTTTCTATTTTTTTTAAAAAAAGTAAATGTAATAAATTTATTGATTTATAGGAAGAAAGATATCACGGTAATGCAAAGATATCACGATAATGCAAAGCTAATAATGACATAACAAAGTTTCATGTTGAAGTTTCGTAGCAACGCAGTATTTTTTTTAGCTTTTTATATGTGGATTGAATAATTTAAAAACAGCTCCGTTCATTCTGGAAGTTCTTCTGAAAATTTTTTTTTCAAGGCGTTCTTTTAAAGGTAATCAGTCTTCTTTGAGAGTTTTTTTAAAAGTGTTTTTCATTTAACTAAATTTCATAATAATGAAATCTTAGTATTAGTTTTGCTGGAAAAATTTATTATTAGGCGCTATGATGTGTAAGGATACATAACTACCCTTTTCAAAAAATGTGTTTATTATAAATTTATGTTAAAAAAATCTTAATCCACATATGCAATAAAGTTTTGTATAATTCGAATTTTTTTTAAGGGATATTTTTTTAACGGAGGGTCATAACAAATATGCAAAATCTCTAGGAATATTTGAATCATATATTTAAATAGACGATTTTGAAATACGCAAAGAGCAAAGCTTAGTATACGCCAAGTTTTACTACTCATGTTTAAAAAAAGCACTGACTAAGAAAATTAGTTTTATTTCTTATTATTTTGATTAAGAATTGACTCATCTCCTAAGAAAATTAGTTTTATCTCTCATTATTTTGGTTAATTTTGATATTTCCAAAAGTCAATTTTGATATTGCAAAAAATAATTTAAATTTAAGTTTTTATTATGTCTAATATCATTCAGTCAAAACATTTTTTTGGAAGAGTTCAGGAAAGAATCAATCGAAAAAGTCTTTCAATGCAAAAAAAAATTAAATAAAATTTTAATATCTCTGCTCAAATAAATTTATTAAAAATATAAATAAAGTAAAATAGTCGTTGATAAATCTCTCTTTTATCTTTTATCATTGACAAATTTCTCTTTCATTATGTTGCAACTTTATTTTGTTTTATTGTTGTAAAGTATATGTAATATATGTATATAAAATAATATATTTATATAAGTAGAACAGCCGTGGCACAGAGGGAGCGCACGTTCCCAACGTTCGTCGAACGTACTTGAACGTTTTGTGTTTACTGGGTAAAGACTTCTTGGGGCACCTAAATAAAATTAAAATAAAAAAGTATAGGTATAAATATAAACGTTTTTTCAGAAAACCGTTAATTGACATTTTTTTTCAAAAATGATATTATTATAAATTATTAGAGATCGACTTTAGTCACACTGTCTTTAACAGAAACACGTACACGTGTTTCTCTTCTATCATGCCTTTCTATGGGTTTTATTTTGTCTTATAATTTCCGTTTAGAGGTCATCCATACGTCACGCAAATTTTGACCGTTTTTAACCTCCTACCCCCTCCCTTCGTTACGAAATCCTAACACTTTAGTAGCAAGTTTTGTGAATCGTCACAAAACCACTAACCGCTCCCCCCCCTTCCGCCTTGAAGCGTGACGTAATTTATGGACGACCCCTTAAGGCTTTTTAAGTTTTCCGAAAAATTAAAAAAGCGCACTTGAAATGTTGCTGAAATAAACAATTAATTAACATATAATGCTGCTGTTTATATATTTTAGCACAATTTATCTGATTGAAAATATTGATAAATGACAAAACATGAAATGAAAGAGTATTGTTAACATTATTGAAAATAATTGTTAAAAACAAAAAAAAAAAGCATGCGAATTGAACATCAAACATTAAACATGAATTGAACATCGAACATTGAACATTGAATTGAACATCGAACATTGAACATGAATTGAACATCTGTACTTTTCTCAAATTAGTGTTTATTTTTTCAAATTAGTTGTTTTAATCCTCCCTCCTCCTCCTCCCATAATTATCGCGTGCCAGCATAAGTTTAATTATATTTATTATTTTTTACTTTTATTTACTTTGAAATATTTTTTGAATGATTTTTAAAATTCAAAAAATTATTATTGAAATATACTTTTATTATCAATACTTTTAAGGAACATGAATATACTTCTAACTATTGGCGCATTGGTGTTATTGGTTTCCTTAGTTTCTTGTGCACCGTTGATAAACCATGAGCTTCACAGTCGAATTTATGAAGAAACCATAAGAGAGATCAAAAGGACAAGAGATGAATGCTACAATGAGATCAAAGACGGCGAACAAGAACAAGTCTCTAGAATAACTTTGTGCGATGAAAATTATAAGAAAGCATTTGAAAAAGCTTCAATTAATTATGAATACCGTCGATGAGAATATAATGAAGCATAATTAATATAATGAAAAACTAATATATTAATTTTGAAAACTATTATTATGTAATGGTCAAAATATATACAATACGACTTAATTAAAGTTTGTTTTTATTATTTTTTTTATCTATTCTAAGAAGAACAAATAATTAATTGTACCTATGCGTTGTTTTTGAATTAAAAGCATCGTATAAACTCATTTGCTTGGCATTATATTAGGCTACTGTTAGTATTATGTAGTAGATGTTACGATGCCAAACGTAGCGTTATGGTTAGCGTTGCATGGGCATACATACGAATGGTAACTAGAAGAAATCTGATTATTTTGAATTTAACCATTATTTAATTTTCTTCGTTCATCGTCAATAATTTTTTTCTTCATTAAAATGCTTTAGTTATAAAAAAAAAAATGAGTTAAATTATTTTTAATCTAAAATATTTGTTTAATGAATATCATAGCTTAACATTGCGTGGCAAAAGGTTTTACAGTAGTTTTGAACAACTTTAAACTGTTAGCAAAACTCACCGTGAACCATGTCGTGGCACTCACATAAAACCTTTTGAACATAAAAGTATTTGTGCTGTAGGTTTTGAAAAGTAAGTTTTTAAAATCTGGACAAAGTGCTAAAGGTCAAAAAAAGGGCAAAAAGATTAGCCTGATGGGGTCTTCGGCCCATTTAGAAAATTGAAAGTCATTTTTTTAATATTATTAAATTTTTGTTTGCAGTTGTATACAAAATTGTTTAGATTTGATACATTAAATTTTTTAGATCTGTTACATCAAGTTGTTTAAATTTTTTAATAGCGAAATTGTATTCTAAAAAAAATATACACAATTTTTTTAATTTGATACATAAATAGCATCTACAACAGCATAGTTATTAATATCTGTAACAGTACATTCATATCAATACATGTATACATCAATGATTAGTATATGAATTTATATACATCTATTTAGATAAATGTACACAAAGACGTGATTATACATATATTACTGTGTATGTATAAAAATGAATACTTGTATATTTATATACCATGTAAATATGTTTATATACCATTTAAATGTATATATGTGTACACACACAATTATAACTTGATAAAAGAAGTAAAAATCAAAAAATTTCTTTTACTAAGGGTATCTCTTCTACTTCTTTTACCAAGCCACAGATATATAAGTATATATGTAGATATATCTACATTTTATGTACCTAATATGTTAATAAATGTGCATAGATGATATGTATAGATTTAAAATATACATTAAGTATTTGTTATCTATAAATATCATGTATATATATATATATATATATATATATATATATATATATATATATATATATATATATATATATATATATATATACTATTTAAGAACATTAAGCACTCTATATGTAAAATACATATAGAGTGCTTATGTATATATATATGTATATATATATTCATATATATACATATATATATATATATATATATATATATATATATATATATATATATATATATATATATATCATATATATACATATTCATATATATACATATGTATATATATACATATATATATATATATATACACATATCCCAGACAGCAAGCTTACATTGGACCAACGTTGAAAGTCGATGTTGGCCCAATGCAGGTTTGATCATTGGTTAGGTATTGGCCCAATGTTGTGTACAACATTGGCCCAATGTTGTATACAACGTTTACCCAACATTGGCCCAACGTTGTATATAACGTTAGGCCAATGTTGTATACAACATTGGCCCAACGTTGTATACAACATTGGCCCAACGTTGTATACAACATTGGCCCAACGTTGTATACAACATTGGCCCAACGTTGTATACAACATTGGCCCAATATCGTATGTTATATATCGGCCTAACGTTTTATGCAACATTAGATTGTTGTTACAAATAAGATGATTTGCATCGCTACATTGAAAATTTATAGAGAAAAAAAAGAATGTATGATACAAGTATAAAAATTTATTTATTTAACATAATTTATCGGTTAAATATACATATTGCAAACACCAAACTTAAACCAAAAACTGACACATTGAGTTTTAAATAAAAAAATTCACTATAAAATTTATAGAGTAGTTTCGATATTGGCTGAGCTACTTGTTATTGAATATTGTTTAGCTTATGATATTTGGTGCCCACGATTATTATTTTTTCTTCCTCTATCTCTATCACATGTCTGCATAAGCCATGCTTATTTGACTTCACAGTTTCTGCAAAAAAAAAAAGTTGTTTGTTTAATTATGCACCAAAGAAACATATCAAATTGAAAGTTTGTAATGCAAAATTGAAACTGAAAAAATAAACTTTTCTAAACCACTTACCAATAGCAGCATATGCAATCAATATTTTTTCTATTCCAATTTTTTGTTCTCTCCCTGCATAGTTTAATTTTACAACTAGGCCATTTAAAAAAATTATTCTTAGCAAATAAAATATACAATCTCCTTTGTCTTTAACTCCGATTTGTGCCAAATAATTGACCTGCAAAAATACACAACCTGGCAATAATTAAAGTAACTTTTGTTTAGACTTAAATTAATATAAAATGTAATTTACAAAAAATCTTCAAAGAGTATTTTATTTAAAGATATCATACAAAATGCATAAAAAAATTATAAAAAAATATTTACTATTTACTTACGTATTTTCTTTTCTTCCAGAGTACTTGAATTCTTCACTGCTTTTAATAGCAATGACACTCTTTCAGGCAATACAATAATTAGTATACCTTTGTTACTCAAATTTTTATAACTGAATTTGATGTGTTTTGTAGTTTACCAAGTTGTACTTCAATGACGACTAAGAATGAACACTAAGAAAAACATAAATTTCAGAAAAAATAAATGGGTAGCACCAAAAAAAACATTATAGCTTAATTGAGCGTTGTATTTTGAAAATGCGACGAGTCACAAAATTTAAATTTTACAAGGGAGTGAAAAATATTTCTCCTGTAAAAAATTTTATTTTTATTTTATCTAAAGATTGTTTCTTTTCTCTAAAAAAATCTTTACTTTATCTAAAATAATATTTTTTTTATCTAAAAAATTTTTATTTTATCTTAATATTCTTTTATTTTAAGTGAGGTTATTTGAAAAGAATATTTTCAAAAAAATATTCTTTTCAAATAACCTCACTTTTAAAAAAAGTGTGACTCATCACGTTTTCAAAATACAGCGTTCATTTGTGAAACGAGTAACTTCTTAACTAGAATAACTGATTTTTCCATGACTATCTAAAGAAAAAAATAATTTCCTGACTTTCCCAGGTTTTCCACGACTTTAGCCAATATTAACAAATTTTCCAGATTTTCAAGGTACAGTTCAGACCTTATCCAATGTTTGTAAACAATTTTTTTTACATATTTTAGTTCTGAATTTTAATAACACTATTTTTAAAAATAATATCATCTATAAAAATATTGTATTACCTTCGTCTATTAGATGAATTTAAATAAACGTTTATATAATTAATAATAATGAATCACCAGCAACTGTTAAAACTTTAAACTGATATGAATACTGATATAAATACAAATACTGTTGTTTTTTTCAACATTTGATTTCAAATGGTTTTCAATTGGTGACACCAACTTTGAAATCCAACAAAATTTTTTTGTTACGTTCATAAACTTAAATGTTCTCAAAACAACTAAAAAAACCTGGCCAGTTTTTCGCAACTAAATATATTTTCTGTGGTCAGTATTCGAGAGCAATATATGAAAAAGTTTTTAAAATTGTAAAAGTTAAAGCTATGAATAAAGATTTTCAATCATTAGACACTTATTTTTTGTCTCTTCAATCTTTATTTTGACTGGTCATTTTCGCTGTCTTCCTTTTTTGTCTCCAGAGCAGAAATTTAGCCTTATGCTAAATTCAATCTTGCATTGCTTTAAAAATCTATAAATCAAATCATTATTAAGTTATAACTAAAGTTAATGTAATATAATAATGTAATAATAATAAAAGCTTAAAGTTGTTAACTGTTGTACGCAAACTAAATATTGAAAATATCCAGAGATATTAAATTAAAAAATAATTAAACCAAGAATAATGTCCCTCTGCCTCGTAAAGATGGAATATTAGAAAGCTCTACATAAGTAGAATATAAGTTCAAGTAACATCACATTTTGTACACTGTTTTAATATGTTAGTAGATGGGGTTTCATAATCAAACACAGAAAAAATCAAACAAAAGAGACATATTTAAAATGTAAAATATCTGCCTCTAATAACTCCAATGCCACATATATATTATTGATACCTTTAATAATATATCTTATAATAGCTATATAATCTAAACTATTATAAATAATGAAAAAAAAAATTATACTGTATGACATTTTAAATGTTTGATTTATTTAATAAAGAAGACATTTAAAATGTCTCCTTTATTCAATAAATCGAACATTTGAAATGTTTCATTTATTTATAAATAATAATAATAAATTTTATAAAATAATAATAAAATTTAATAAATTAAATTTAATAAAGATTATTAAATAAAACAAACATTTGAAATGCCAATACAGCAATAAAAATAAAAAAATAACTTTAAGATCTTACAAAAAAATAATTTGATTATTGCCTTTATTATTATATTAATAATTTAGATTGTAGTAAAAAATGTTTTAAGCATATTATTTAAATGTTAACAAATATTTCATTTAAAAAAACAAAACATTAAGTCACGAGAATCTCTTGAAGTTTACTTCTTATAAGAAACCTTTTAAGATTCTTAGAAGATTAATAAATATAGCTTCTTTTTTTTATTTTTTATAATTTAATTAAATGGAAAGATACATAATAGTATCAAAACCTTTTTTTGTTCTGTCAAGCGATACCATTTTTAAAAAATGTTTCGAAACAATTTAAAAGTATATACTTTTAAATTGCAAAAAACCGATTTGTAGAATTTCAATATTACGCCGAAAAAAAAACATTGGCTAAATGTTGGCCCAATATAGTACGATATTTGCAAAAAACAGGTTTGTAGAATTGAAAAAAATACGCCGAAAAAAAAACATTGGCTAAATGTTGGCCCAACGGAATAAACTTGCCAATGTTAAAACTTACATTGGGCCAATGTAAGCTTGCTGTCTGGGATGTATATATATACCTATGTATATATATACATATATACATATGTATATATATATGTATATATATACATGTATACATATGTATGTATATATATATATATATATATATATATATATATATATATATATATATATATATATATATATATATATATATATATATATATATATATATATATATATATATATATATATATATATATAATATATATATATATATATATATATATATATATATATATATATATATATATATATATATATATATATATATATATATATATATATATATATATATATATATATAGTAGTAGTAGTAGTAGTATATATTTGTTACAACAAATGTAAAGACAATTGACAGAATACAAATGTAGATTGTCAAATCATAGATAACATTTGTGAAGCTCATAATGCAACTTCCATCAAAGGGAATTGCGAGCTGTTGTAACTTTGAAGCCTATCAAGTATCGCTTTAAAGCTGTTGACAGATGAAGAGTAGACTACATTATCAGGCAAGCTGTTCCATGTGTTGGCAATTCGGTTATTAAAAAAATTGAAACAAGTTAAATTGTTGTTATATTTTTCCCGGAGAAATTTCTCTCTGTGATTATTAGCTCTCGGCGGAATTGTAATAGGAGGAAAATGCCAGTTAATTATGTCAATGTTTTTCTCAATTTTAAATTTCTGAATGAGGTCACCTCGTTTACGGCGGTCAATTAGAGATGTGAGGCCAAGTTTTTCACATCTAGACTGGTAGTTTAAATTTTTCAATTTGTGCGGTATCTTTGTGGCTCTGTGTTGTATTTTCTCAATAATTTGCTCGTCTTTCACCAAATGAGGGTTCCAAGCTGGGATAGCAAGTACAAGTAGAGGACGGACATAAGTGGGAGTATATATATATATATATATATATATATATATATATATATATATATATATATATATATATATATATATATATATATATATATATATATATATATAGGTATATATATATATATATAGATATATAGATATATATATATAGATATATATATATATATATATATATATATATATATATATATATATATATATATATATATACTATATATATATATATATATATATATATATATATATATATATATATATGTATATATATATATATATTATTATTCTTACTTTTTTATATATATATATATAAAAAAGTAAGAATAATAAAAATTAGGACTTAAAAATCATTAAATATACCTTGGCTACTTTAGCTCCCTATTCACCAAAAGGCGAATCTCCCTATCTAAGTCTGTAAAGACTTCTTCTGCACCCAGGACAAACAACTGATGGATAGCATTCGTTGTTCATCGAATATCCTGGAAAGATAGACAGCTGAATTTGTTGCTCTAAGTTTTTATTCATATGCTTTAATGATTTAGATCTTCCGTCATACTTTTCCTAGCAACAGCAACAAGTAGAATTTAAAAAAAAAAACACTAATAGTAATTAAGCTATTGAACCTTCCGCAATTTAAAACTATTTAACTACCGATCTGGACAATTTTCTCATCTAGAAAATATACTAGTTTAGTTAAAATAGGGCCAGGCATTATACAAGATAAAATTTTATCTAATGACTGCATTAGTATTAGTTAAATTAAAAATTATTTCATTAAATTTATTTTTGTCAAAGTTTTCATTACATAATTATTAAAGATGTATAAATTTGGATGTATGATATTAAAAAATAAATGTTATGAAATAAATTTCAAAATCTTCTTTATAAATTTTTTTTGGCGGTTTCCAGTGATAAAAAAAATTTTTTATTCAATTTTTTAAGTTGAGTTTTTTTGAGATTCGGTAAAAAGTTTTATTACAATTTTAGAATACAGTTATATATAAAATTATACGATAGCAACGCATTCATATAACTTTATTTGAAACAATATAGATAATAGTATTACATAGTAAGGACTTGGTTTGAGTGCCATGACATAAAACCTAGCGGTCTCTGTGGTTCATAGTGATGAACTACTAACACAAAGTTAAAAGAAATAAGTAGTCGTAAAAATAATTTGAGGAAAAGTTAATAAAAGGTAAATATTATTTAGTTTAATATAATTATAAAGTTTAATGATTTATTTTGCCCAAGGAGTCCTTACGATCTTATAATATAGCACCACGGAAGATCATCACGATAATAGAACACCACGGAAGAGCATTTAATTAGAAAGTTCACGCCTCGTTTCTTACCAAAAACGCTAATTGGGCTAAATTTTTAGCATTTGCGCAAGATCCGAAAAATGATTTAGCATTTGCGCAAGATCCGAAAAATGCTTTAAGGGAGTTTATAAGCGGCCTATAGATGAGGAACTGGAAGCAAATCTAGAACGTAGAAAGTAAAGTATTGTAAGCATACAGACTATTAAAAAAATGTCAATGAAGACCAATTAAGATGTGAGCATTATAACAATGCTTAAATTTAGAAGGTTTAGTACCCGACGTCGTGTGTATTGTACTTTATTGAACAATATATATATATATATATATATATATATATATATATATATATATATATATATATATATATATATATATATATATATATATATAGCTTATACTGGAAATTTTAGCTAACTAGGGTCATTAGAAAAGGTAGATGAAGTTCCATACGGGTCTTTGTAAGTCTATTCAATGCCGACCTTTTTTATACTTTATCTTTACATATATACCTTAGCTGTCCCGATCCGTAAAATACGGGTCTTTATCAAACTAAATATTTCTATACTTATCTATTCCACATTGATGATTTCTATACTTATTCAACTTACCTCAACATTTATTAGTAAACAGTTGAAAAATAGTTCTTTCAAAAAAAAAAATTGCTTTAAAAGCAAAAAGAAATGTTTTTTTTTCTCTTAAACGTATACCTTCGATAGCTCATTGGGTTAGTGCGCTCTTATTAGTGTCGTTTCCGAAGTTCAAATCCACCCCTTGAGCATAATACATTTTTAAACTTTTTCAATCTTGCCTTATATATGTAACATATCTGCCGTAAACAACAAGAATATTCCAAATTTTTTATGTGTATGGCGAAAAGATTCTTTAAAAAAAAATTAGTTAATAATCTTAGCCCACCCCACCCCCCTGCCCCAAACGTGAGAGCAACAAATTGATGAAATTTTTTTCGGATTATTTTTAACTAGACTTATATTCATCGATAAATATTAAACTTCATAGTAAAATATTTTAGTGTTAAAAAATTATGACCATATAAAGTTTGCAACCCCCTCAAATTGAGAAGGGTTTATGATTACTTTTATCACTTTCAGAGGACTATGTATAGTGTTAAAGAATCCCTCTTCTCCAAAGTAATTCCGTCATTTTTTTTTTTGTCATAATTACGTATTTTTGAATACAAATAAAAAGTTTTAATTACGTATTTGTCATAATTACTGTTATTTACGTATTTGTCATAATTTGTTTTAATTACGTATTTGTCATAATTACGTAATTACATTTTTTTTTGTCATAATTACGTCATTTAAAGATTTTTTTTGTGTGTAGATCTCTTGGGGGCTTTAGCTTTCGAAGGCTGCTTTGATGTTGATGTTGGAGTTAAAAGTCTCTCTATTTTCCTTGTTCTAATTTTTATTTTATTACAAACTTATTAAATAAAAAGCTGTAAATAATAAATTAGTTGTTAAATATAACTTTTTAATATTAAATTGCTTAAATATTGAGCAGCCGTGGCGCAGTGGTTAGATTTCTGGCTCAGAACCCAGAGGTCCGAGGTTCGACGCCATCTCTAGCCCAACAAGCGACATTGGTACGGAAGGAGGCGTGAACTTCCTGTTAAATGCTCTCCCGCGGTGTTCTATGATAAGACCGGGGAGCACCTAAATACATACAAAAAAAAAATAAAATAAAATAAAATAAAAAAAAATTGAATTAATAAAATTGAATAAGAATTACAAAAAATATAACCAGCAGTATTTCAGCGAGAATGAGTTTTATTGATGCAACTAGAAATGATGGCTTATTTAAGCAGCGACCACGATAGTATTTTTTGAAAAGAAAAAAAGATGCAACTTTACGAAGATGGGAAATAGGCTCAAACTTAGCAGATAGAACGGTTCCAACTACCTTTACAATGCATTTTTTAGACCTTGTCCAGAAGAGAAAAAGCATCATGAACCAGCCCAAGTATGACATCAGTGTTTCGCACAGGGACGAGTAAGGAGTTTGTAGAGGTAAAATATGGAATCAGGAGAGAGAAAATGGCAAGCATGATAAAGAGAAGCAACCTTAGCAAATGCTAATTTAGTAATCGATTGTATATATTGTTTCCATGAAAGGTCATTAATAAATATAATCCAAGAAGAGGTAAAGAAAAAGACTCAGTGAGAGGGTTGCCATTTATTAATAAAGGAATGTCGATAGTACTGCAATAGTTGTTTGCAGTAAATAATTGGATTTATAATAATACGATCTCACAGAAGTGAGATCGGATTCAAAATCGGCTGCCTTTTCTGAGCGATCGAAAAGAGAAGACTTTTTGTTAAGACATTAGTATAAAGTTAAGTTATCAGCAAAAAGAACTTTAGATGTAAGGTTGTCAGGATGTGGGTTAGATGTAAAAGAACTACTTTAGACGTAAGGTTAGTTAGATGTAAGGTTAGGGATAGGGTCAGAGTTAAATTATTAATGTAAATAAGAAACAAAACAGGACCAAGCAAGAATCTTAAGGAACGCCAGAAATCGATGAACATAAAGAAGAGT